TTTTTTTTTTTTTTTTGGGGGGGGGGGGGGGCAGGGGTTGCTGTGGGGCATGCTGATTTCTCTTAATGATCCTTATGAATAAAAATTAATTATCATTCGTTATTTCAACAGGAAAACCATGGACATTGCGTTACTTTGCTCAGCACCTTTTAACTAAGCTACTTATATTTCCAACATTTTTGAATGGTTGTCGCTGTAACAAGGAGACCCTGACCAGAATTAGAGAAGCTGGCTTCAAGACAGTGCGGGCAGAAAAGCAATGGGTTAAGGGGTCATCAGAAGCTTTCTTGGGGTCTTGGGATACAGTTTTGCTTGCAAGAAGTTTATTGGCTCTTATAAACCCTGTGATTGCTGGTTTTGCAGAAAAGTGAAAAAAGTAATTTCAAACTTGTTCCAAAGTTGGTGATGCTTAAACAATTTAGTGGTGAAAACCTTCTTTGACGCAATAATTTTCTCAACCTGTCTAACTTATGGGGACACTGGTAGAGGGTGTTCAGCTTATTTGCCTTATACCAAGTGTAAAGAGGACCTGTCCTTGTCTGCTGTACACTAGAAGGGGTATTTTTTTTTAGTTTTCTAGAGATATGAGGTTAAGGATTTTTTGAGATAAGTTATTGGAAAGGGTAAGCCAGAGCCAGGGGAGAGGGGCTACTTTAGGAATTTTTGGGTGCGGATGTGCCGCTGGGACCCAGAAACCCTTAGCCTATACTAGAGCTAGTTCAGGTGAAGTTTGCTACCCTGTACTAGACTAAACTCCCCAAATCTCCCCTATCCTAGAGTATCTTGTAGGCAGAGTTGCATAAATTTAAACTTGCTGATTTGATTTTTTTATATTTTTGAGTGGCAATTCCCACTTTCCCTTTTCTAGACTCAAATCTTCAACCAATTGATCAGTTTCCTGGAAAATGATACCCTCTTCTAGACCCAAACGCTCTGATTTATACACCCTGTCCCAGAGTAAACTGCTTGAAAACCATACCCTTCACAGGGGCACATACCTATATAGCCCATATATGGCAGTATCCCCTGGGAGCCAAACTGCCATTTCGGTATCCCTTGAGCCCTTGAGCCCTTAAATAAGGGTGGCCGCTATAAATGAGTCTCCACATAAGCAACGCTTAAAATGTGACAAACGCCGCAACGTCAAGTAAATAGGGTATATGAAAAGAGTACCATTTTAGTAAAGGGTTTAGATTCCGGGGCAACCATCCCCGTCCAACAGTCTTCTCAAGTTAGGATCCTTCATATGGACTAACACCGGCTGTAAACTCATAACAGAAAACACCATAGGAAAGTACCCTTAACTGGGTTGCTGAATCAAACAGAAATTCAAAAATTTTGAACGCATTGTTATGTAAAACGACAAAAACCAGAGGAAAGTGATCAGAAAAAAAAACCTTTTCCCGATAACTCTAGCGCCGATTAGGCACGTTTGTCTAGTCTCTAGACTGGCATAAATCGGCGCCGGACTCCGACTTTGTAATGTTCATATAGTCTTATTGTTTTAAGGATCAAAATGTTTTAGAACGGTATTATAGTATAATTTGGAATAAAAATTACAAAACAAAGGCACAAGTAGAAAAACAATTTAGTTCAAATAAGGAAAAAAGTAATACATGAAGATTAATATAGGATTTGGATATTATAAATTAAACCTTTTTAAGAACATAAAGCAAGAGATGAACATTAATATGTATTTGGATATATTTATAGAACTTTTTAATGAAAAAAGAACCAGACACTTTTTTAGCCATCTCTTGGGTCAGAGCTGCTTTTTGGAGGCCCCTTATGAGCAGGTTTCAACATAGGCAGCTCAGACTCTAAGGGAGCCGTTAAAACTCAATAAACAAAGTATGCCCGAAATGCTGTCTTTGATAAGGTTCTAATTAAAAATGACTTCCCTTGTATCTCTCAGTTTGTCTCTTTACTGTTTGAATTGCTTTTGCAACCATTTTGAAGCCTTTCTGGCGAGTTCTTCTGCGCGGGGTGCTATAAACAAGGGCTCAAACTACACAAAACGACCAGCGGGAAAACGAAAAACAGAAAATGTAGCATGAATTCTTCATCCCTCCATCCCGACACAAATTTTCGCTCAATCCTGTAATCCCGCATCCCGCGAACACTTTCAATCCCGAATCTCGCACTCTTTTTGCTTCATATCCCGAATCCCGGATCCCAAAAAACGTTTGGGGACCCTCGTAAGTATATGAACACCAATTAAACTTGACTCATGATACTTTATTATTTTCAGTTCTAAAAGATAACTAATGCTTCTTATAGTATTATGTAAACAAAAATTTTACAGCAAAATAATAATGTTAACAAAAGCAACTAAGGTTCTGTACACCACTTCTTACATTCGTAACTTAGTAATGGCTATTGTTGAGAAGTTACTTGTTTTTGGTAGTTGCAGAACCCAATTTAGTTTTGCGCCCGCAAAAAAACTACACCGGATAGGGTTTCTGTTCACACACAAGAATGGAGATTACGGCGCAGCTTGAGCGAAGCTGCGCCTAGTCTGCTAAACAGCCGTTTTTTAGTGTCGTCACGCAATGCCCCTCCCCACTAACTTAGTGGGGAGGAGCGTTGCGTGACGACACTAAAAACGGCTGTGTAGGAGACTAAGCTGCGCCACGCCGATCCCTAAAGTGATGAGTCAGATATCGGATAGCTTTTCGTGTTGGCACAAACAGCTATTCGGTATAATATGAACATAGCCTTTTAGATAGCCTGCGTAGCAAGCGTTTCCGTGCGAGTTGCTGTAACGTTCGCGCAATAACTCGGTTGGAAACGCTTGCTACGCAGGCTACCTTTCAGAGAGGTTCATGTTAGAAGAGGTTTAATCTTCCGAAACACTGAATTATTGAAAAGGCAGTAACCAAGATTTTACTCGAATTGATCATCACGAAAGGTGTGTGTTAAATGATTACTTTAGTCAGGGGTCCACTCCCGCTTTACTAAAGGCTGTGTTTTAGTACAGGTGTAGCTTAGACTCTTTTTAGAGAAATTGTCTACCCCTAACTTCGAACGGCCCAAATGGCATATGAAATTTTGAAGCAAATTCAACACTGACACAATGCGATCTGCGTTATGTCCAAGCTGCTAGCTCTTACACTGTATCATTAGGGCTAGCTTTCCAATTTCAGAGGGATTTTAAAAGAGTTTTAACAAAGCTTACGGAACAGCTGGTGCGCATTGCATCGTTCCAACGACCCTCCACGTCAATCTAGCCCACCACTAACAGGGACAACGAAGTAAATTTTAGATTTGGGGCCGAGATTATCTGCATATTATCTGTTGGGGGAGGGGCACGCTCCCACGAAAAATTTAGAGCTTCTGAACCCGAAAAGAATTTATTTCTAAGAATCGTGAGAAATTTTTGTCAAATTTTTTTCGCCATTCTGTAGAAAATTGTGCTGGCGTTGCACAAAGGTTAGAAGTAGTTATGGAAATGCACAAACTAACAAAACAAACAAACAAAGAAACAAAACTCCCGCCGAAATTATTGGTGGGGCTATATCCCAACCAGCCCCATAGCTCCACGATCCCTGTTTGAGAGGAACCAATTAATTGAGGCAAATAGATTTTATGTTAATTCTACCCAAGAGGTACGATTATTTATAGGTTTGGTTCAATAATAGATGGTAAAATGTCAGGAACATTCTTTATCCTAAAATCTAGCAGCATCTGACCAAGTGCCTTGCCCTGCAATGAAAAAAATAAATTCACTGAGAAAAACGTGACAATGAATACATGAATAAAGAATCGCTACCGTGAATCAGAAGGTATAAAACGAGGAAAAAGGAATAGAAGAGAATTCTTCTTTTCGCAAACAAATACTTTTTTAAAAGCATTATCAATGAAACAACTAAAGCTTCGGTAAAACGGGCAACA